AGAATGGTGAGGGAAAAAAGATTACAAGGAAGACACTATTCTGAGAGGCTGAAATTTTCAAAAATCTATTTTTACACCCTGCCCTACCCCCTGCAGGCCTATAGAGTAATACAAGTAGAAACCAGAGAAACAGAATCTGTTCAGTCCTGTACATTACTTTTTCTGTCATGTAAAGTATTTCGGAATCAGTTTTAAAATAGTCTGAGGATTAGGAGGGCTCTACGGTAGCCTGCGGCCAGCCTGGCTGTGTGCCGTGTGCCTGTGGGTCTGTGCCCCTGCTCTCGCTGGGCCGTGCGTTTTGATGTGGGAGGCCAAAGTTCTTCCGATAGTTAATAGCCCTGTAAATCATAATGCTACAATAAAAATAAATATGGTAGTTCTTGTGGTGAGAGTTTTCTTCCAGTTTTGCTTTTAGCATCCTGGCGTACTTTCCAAAGAATGCAGTATTAGTGGTTCGTACGAATATTAATGTTACCCGAAAGGAGTCATTTACCTCATATGCCGTTTCGGAGAGAGAGCCCTGAGGAGGGTAACTTTATCAGCCCTGAAAGTAAATCTTAAGTATTAGAGGGGAAAAATAGCTACAAATTTTCTTATTCATAAGTCTGTCTTGAGAAAGGCAAGTAAAGAAGCCTCTGGTGCTTCCACGGAGTCAGTGATCCTTGGTGAAATTTGGCGTTATAACTCCAGCTGAGGCAAGACACTTTCCTACAAAACTTCTATGTAGCGATTTCTGTTCTGCTTCAAGTGAAACTGGTGTGTTTTGGAGTCTTTGTGCCAGGGAAGGCCTGTCCCACCATCAACAGTGTGGTGCTGGGTGCTAGGCATGGCTCACAGGTGTCCACCTGAAAGAGAAACATTTCCCTTGGGATCAGAAAATTGGAATTTGAAGTTTAGCACTTCTTTTGTTCTCATTGGAATGCCTTGACCGCTGGGCAGGGGCTATGTTGAGCTGTAGATTGTGTGCTGACTCCTAATGGCTTGTTTGTGTGTATATATAGGGTTTTGGTTTGGACTTCTTTTTTTACTGTTTTTGCTCTGTATTGCTTCAGCAATTCTGTGGTGATCTTAAGAACTGTTTCCTGATAAAAACTGGTGCATGTGGTGGTTGTGGTTTTATTTTTGTTTTCTGTTAACTGACAGGCATCTGCAAAAAGCTTTGGATTTAATAAATTGTCATTTCCTGGTGGAAAGATTCTGTATTTATAAAAACAAAACCCAACTAATCATTCTTTAACTTCTTTTGGGCTCTTTTCTCCCTGTGTAAAGCAAAAGATAAAGCCCAATTAGATACATCAATTAGGGCATTATGACTTATGGTGCAGCACTGCAGGGGCTGTAAGTGATGTCTTTGCTTTTATTAAATGAAGAATATGAATTGCCTTTCACTTCTCTGTGGCTGTGCTTTCTGCAGAGTGACTCCTAAATGCATTTTAAAATGAAACCTACCAAGTGTCGTCTTGGCAAATACAGCCTTTTGAAAAGATAACTGTGCATGTTTTATATGGTAGCTTCCTTCTTCAAATAGAAGAACATTGCTCTCATACTTGCTTCTTCTGTAAAGGTGTCTGTTAGTTAAGGGAGCCAAGTGCAGACTTGCTGGAAAGGACACTTCAGCTCCCCCAGGTTGCGGTGACCAGTGTTACACGTCGTGATTGTAACTGCACAATCTTCTCTTTTACCGGGGCAGGCATGGTCCCAATATAGGAATATCTTGCAGTTGATAACCAGTTCCTGCAAACTAACAAAAATGTTTACAGGATTTAAGCATGTCAAACCATCAGGTTTCTTCCCCTCTTCCTCCTTCTTGCACATTTGTCTTTAGATTAGTAAAATACACTTCTGTATATATTTTCAAAATTTATCTCAAGATGATGCTGAGAGAGATATTTTTATGACTGTATTTACAATTTTTTTTTTTTAAAAAGGAGATAGAGTGGGAGACCCACCAACCCAAGTCCCTGAACAAGATTGTCACCTGAGGCTAATAGTTGCAGGCCCAGGAAACCTTTACACTTCTGTCTGTTACTGTCTGGAGCTCAGGAGAATCCTGATGATTCTGATTTTCTTAGTCTAAAGAGAACTGAATTAATGCTGCTGACATCAGAGTCAACATCTGAATATTATCAGCCTGCGGGATGCAGGTGGGTCCTGGGTTCACGCAGTTTAAGGCTCTGATGTACGAGCAGTGGTGCCTGCAGCTGCAGCAGCTGCAGGAGCCGGTGTTCCTGCCCACCCCAGCTCTGCGCAGGAAGGGTGACTTTTTCCCTGGTGAGGATGCCCCATTGCAGAAGCCTGACACACCTTACTCTGTTACAGCTTGTGCGTCCGAGCTCTAGGAAGTGTTGCATTAGAGTAAGGGTGTGTGGGACTGTAACCCAGCACTGACTCCAAGAGCACTAGGTCCCCTACAAGTGAGGCCAGCCATGGTCATAGCAGTGCTGGTGGAGAGGCTGGGGCTATTGGGTGACTCACTTTTTACCCCTGCCCATGTAAGAAGAAGGTGGTTTCTACCATAAAGAGGAGCCTTTGTCCATGTTTCTCCCTCTCTGCTGGTGACAGCACGCCTGGTTCCCCAGAGCTCCCATCCACCCGGTGGGCTGCAGCACATTCCCCTGGCTTGGCAGCTCTCCTCTGCCTCTGGCCCCTTGTCCTTGCAGCCACTGCCTTCAGATCTGCCTGCCTGCCTGCCTGGGAAATCTTGGGCTGGCATTGCCTAATAGAGACAAATGATTGATTGCTGTCCCCTTGGGCTAATTGCACATATAATCTATTCTTTCCTCTTCTCCAGGGCTCCTTTTCCACAGAATAAAACCCGACCACAAAGACACCGCAAAAAAACCAAGCAAAGAAACAGACTTTGCTGTTTAAATGGGAATAAATAAAGGGCAAAAAGAAGGAGAGGCCAGAGCAATTTTCTACGCTAGTTCTTTCCAGATGCACTTACTGGTGCTATGAGGAAGATTTGCTTTTCTCTGTGAACAGCAGACCTTCCCATCATTGGGAAACTAAACTCAACATTGGGATTAAATGCTACTGAGCAGTTCTCAAAAGGATGCTGTTGCAGCATTACTGTGTGAGACTGACTGCTTTCACCTACTAGGAAAAATAAATCCCTTGGGTTTTGACCCCTCCTGTAGTTCATTGCCATTGCGATCTGACAGGAATCTCCCTCTGGTTCTTTTGCTCAAAGTGACTGTCACTGCCATCATACAATTATATGCTAATTGTATCAGATAAACATTACTGGGAACCTAGTAGGTTAATCAGTTTTCTGTACCCGTTTGGCATGTATACATACATATGAGTTAACATGGTTTAATCTGGAGTGAAACTGTGCTGATCAATTCTGTAAATAAATAAATGATTGTTAAGGGTAAATGCCTCTTCTCTGCTTAGGAAAGAGTATGCTGTTTTGTTTGTGCCAAAATTAGTCTTCAGTAATATGTAATATGATATGTGGTGGGTTTGACAAGCAACTGCATTTAGCTATTTATTCTAAACCACAAAACAAATAATAGCAGTTACAGAGTCCCTGTTCGGTGCTCTGGAGCTCCGGCCATGTTTGAGTAGCTGAATGTGATGGTTCTCCTGGGTTAAATCTGCCTAAGTGTTTGGTTGTTGAGTTCTTAGTGACCAGTGAAACAAAATACTATGGCAAGTTAGAAAATGAGTGCTGTTGTGGTTATCAACGTACACGTTCAGTATGTTCCTTTTGTGATAATTAAAGTTTTGTGGCTTGTCTTGTAACATCTAAACGCAAAGTTAAAAGGAGAAAAGGAGTGTCAAAACTCCATCTATGTCCTTCAGAAATTGTACAGGAACATATATTACGTGAAGTGTGATAATTCTACAGGGTTACTCTCATCTTGGATACTGCAGAGCCTTGGTTTAGTGCTGGAGTGTGCTACAATTTGTACTGGCATAAGGGACTTAAGGGTAACACATAAAAATATGCAAAAGTGTATTTGAAACGAATTTAAGGAACAGGAGGCCTTAATCTTGCTTACATAAGGTTCTTTTTGCATATCTTGGAATTACAGACAGCCTTTAACGTGAGATTAAATTGTTTCCTCTCACTCTGAAATGTTTCTGTTTTGTCACTGTGATGCATATGGGCTGTAGTGTAAACGGGGATTGGGCTTGGAATTGGCATGATAACCAAATGAGTGAAGAACCAATATGAAGTCCAGCACTTAAAAGCAGGTGTAATAGGTTGCTAGATAAAATGAGATGGATGGTACTTCTGATAAATGGCAGTTTGGACACTCCACAAATGTTTTAGAGGTACGTAATATTTACTGTTTTCATTTGTCTGTGGGCTAATGGGAAGAATGAGGGCATCGCTCTGCTGAATTTTCGCTCTAATAAGCATGCAGTAAATATGTTGGAAGGAAAATGGATGATTTCTGATTCTTTAGGCTGTAGAGATGTGATTTTTCTTGAGGTATTGTCTCTGAATTGCATTTACTAATTAACTATATGCAAGGTAAAAAGTGGTTCTTAATCTTCTGACCTATATTAAAAATGGTACCCTAAATATGGTGGTAATAAGTATATGAATACCTGTGCTTTAGAGTGGGTTTTTATATCTCCTTTGTTCAAGACAAAACTCCAAACCCTATCTCCTCTTTGGAAGAAGAATCTGATTTTTGTGAAAAGTTGTATGGAAATTTCTTTTCTTGGGGGAGAAGAAACTGCAAAGCAGTCCTTCTGAAATTACTTCTTATTTTTCTGAATAGAGGTTTTGTTGCTAGTATGTAATGTTATTGGGGAAAAAAACCCCACTGAATGATGGAATTTGACTTTTGTAGGCGTTTTCTAACTTTTTAATTGCCAAAACTGTTACCAGAGCATGAAAGAATTAGTATGAATCTTAACAGTCATATTTGCTGCCTTTCAGATGCACAAACAAAATTTAGAATTCTGTGTAAAAATAAGATGGAAAAAAAAAATTTTACTTCTCACCTTTCTTTTTTTCCCTTTTCTTTTTATGATAGGGTTTTATCTGTCCTCTCTGTATGAAGTCTCATGGATCAGCTGAGGAGCTGTTCAAGCACTATGAAGCAGTCCATAATTCTGGCATTGATTCAACTCATGGAGGGGAAGGTCATCTGTCACCGGAAAGGTGCAACAGTACTCATTTGTGCATGTCCTTTTGTGTCAGTGTTGAGCTGCTTCTAATTACACTGAAGGCTGTATTAATTTGAACACTTAATTATGTAGTCAAGTATTTAAATATTCCAGCTCCATTTCCAACTACAATTAAAAAGTAGCTTGAAATTTACATTGGCTGATACTGATCTGGCAATAAATGAAAATGGGATACACAGAATCACAGACTGGTCGGGGTTGGAAGGGACCTCTGGAGATCATTTAGTCCAAGCCGCCTGCTAAAGCCGGTTCACCCAGAGCAGGTTGCACAGGACTGCATCCAGGCTGGTTTTGAATATCTCCAGAGAAGGAGACTCCACAACCTCTGTGGGCAGCCCGTTTGTGTAAGACGTTTATATATATGAACACATGTTTATATTGGTAGTTAAATCACCTGTTTCTTGTGCAGTTGACTGCAATATTACACAGTGGAATGATTTTTAGGAGTGTCTTAGAAAAAATACAGGTTCCTCCTAATTTCTGGCATGAGCTGAAGTTTCATCTTTTGAGGGTAGGGGAGGACAACCCTGAAGATAGAGAAGAAACCTGATTTTGTCCCTGGGTAGTTAGGGTACTTACTGGGTAATTATAATACCAGTATTTGCCTAAATAGGGTCCCATATTACCTAGTTATTTGCAAATCTGAGAAGTTTCTGTCTGTCACTAATTCTCCTTGTGTGTTCCAGAAACTCTATGCTGCTCTTTCAGAAATCTTCTCTAATTTATTTAACTGTTTGGTCAAAACTGTATTGTTAAATATATTCCTAGGAAGCATATTGGGTTGTTTTGAGAGCAGCAGTATATAGCAGGAGCTGATGACGTAAAACTTTCTGTAGAAAAGTTTAACTGAGTAGTCTGCCTATGTTGGTTTGGGAAGCTTTTTCTTAGGGGTAGAATTTACATAGATTTGCTTTTGCTTCATGCTAGCTTTTTTTTCTGTTCAGTGTTTATTTTGGACTGTTGTAAATGACAGTCTGTGCTCCTGTTTGGTGACACTCCCCCGAGCTCCCTTGGTTTGTATCAGAGTGAGCAGCTGCCTGTGGCCTCATTCAGCAAACAGAGGTACACACCACACGACCCTGCGGGTGGTCAGCTGCTATGGAGCTGGCTTCTGCTGATGCTGGCATGTAAATGGTTCAAATGGTTTGTCACTAGTAGAAATGTGACCCAAAATAATAAACAGTTGCATTGAAAGAAAGACATGTATTTATGTAACTAACTCAAGAGAGGGTGGTTCTTTGGTGAGAGAAGAGTGTGGAAGGTAACATATTTCAGCAATCCGAATGAAGATCCGTATCACCCCAGTATTGTGCAGAGCTGGCAAGCCAGTAAGAGCCAGCATTAGCAGAGGTCTTCTCTTCACACACAGACAGGCCCTTCCTTGTGGATAGCTGCTTTCTCTTCCAGCTGCTGCAACAAAAGAAATCAAAATTAGGGCTTTACATAGGAGACAGTGTAGGGTACTAGTGGAGTTGTATTGGGTTTCCAATGTGCACATTTATTTAAGAATGAGTATTTCTTCTCTGTCGTGTTTTAAGCCTTTTCAGAGTGATGTAACTTAGACCTGAAATGATACTCTTAGTAGAATAATAGCCTTCACATGAGGGAATTATTGGTCATAACTATATTGTTTATATAGTTTATGAAATATTTATTTTTATGCCCGCAAGTTTCCAATGTCAACCAGATGTTGGCTGGTGAAATTTATTTATTTTTTTCGTGGCTCTTGACAGCTTAAGGACAAGTGGATTTGTTTTCTTTCATATAATTGAAAAAGTGGACAAGGTCAGGGGGTTTGGATGGAGTGAAGGGAGTGTGGTGAGAGCTGTTGTGTAACACATGAGCTATTTCTTGCTATTAGTGTGGCGTTCTTTAATGTTTCTCAGTTAAACGCTTGCTTGAGAAAACTCATTCAACATAAACATGTTTTTCCAAGACTTGGAATGCCGTATTAAAGAAATATTGCAGCCTGCAGCAGGGAGCCACTCTGTTAGCCATCTAGGAGTGAAGCTTACATGTAATTCATAGGACCGAGATTGGGAGGTGAAATTCCTTATTTGGTCAATAGAGAAAGCTAAGTACTATGAACTACATTGTGTCCTCTTTGTCCCAGCCCCCAATAAACTACTATGGTTAGGTGCTAAAAGTGAATCACGTAACTCTCCACAGTGTGATTCAGCAAGGCCATGGGTACTCGGTGCTGGGATGGAGGCACTGGCATTACAGGTGGAGAATGGAGTGGAGCATAAGGAAAAGGTAGTAAAGATTTTCCAGATGGTGAGGCTCAGATGTGCTGAGAGGAGGAAGGGATTGTAATAGCCCTAGCAGAAAGGGATGTTTGGTGAGGATTTGGAAGGCAGTGAGAAAAACAAAGTCACAGTGTCTGCAGTGATCCTTTACACTTTTTCTTCCCCATTCCTTTTCCACAGGTCAGTTAAACTGAATTTAGGTTTCATCTTAAAACTGTCAAGCAAAAAACTGTGTTGGGAATATTGAGGCAACAACTGTAGAAGACTCCTTGCATTACAAACTCTCTCTCTTCCCCTTCTCCTCCCCTCCTCCTTCCCCTCTACCATGAACTATTTTTATACAGCTCAAAACCTTTTATTTGCTATGAAGACTGGATCATCTTAAATGCTTTAGTATTGCAGATCTGGTATATGTTTAGCCCAACTTCAATATAGTTAACTGTTTCACCTGCCAGAGATATTGTTTATAATCTTAGGTGTGAATATTAGCTGATTTACTTAATCATACTGGAAGCTTCCTCTTCTCCATCCACAACCAATGTATGGGTTTTGGATTACAGCTACACCTGCCTCAGTAAAGTTGGATTTGCAAACCTCCAGTGCATGTCTCACATTGGCAAAATAAGGTGTAAATAGCAGTAAATCTTCCTCTGAAAAAAAATAGCCTCCCAGTATTCTGTGTTTGTTTTGCCATTGAAATTGGTCCATCTTGCTTTGGTGGGTTTTTTTTCCTCCTAAGTATGAGATAATTTGAAACAACATCTGTGAAGGAGGGGATAATGCAGCACAGCATCAATAAAATTGTATGGTATAAAATTGAGAGAAATTGTTGGCAGTGGCACCCACACACATATATTCTGTGTACTCCTCAGTGTTGCCACTGTACAAATAATAAGAAAGGGTGTGTTTGCATTATTTTAATGACTTGCGTGTTCTAGGTTTGGAGTGACTATATCTCAGTAATGCAACATTATCCTTGTATGTATAGTTGTGCAATTCTGTAAGGAGACCTGTGATTTAGAAGGGTGCTGTCTAAATCAATTAGTAACAGTTGTAGCCTTGGATCTTGTGTTCTTGCATGGCTGGAGGCTTGAGCACGTAATTTGAGAATTTAAAATCCCAAGGCTTTAAACATTCAGACCATTAAGTGAGTGTGTCTGTGGGGCATACCGAATTGCTGTGTGGATGAAAAATTATGTAACTGCGTATTTCAAAAGGGATAAGATAGCAGGCTGTCTCTTAGCAGTATTCCTTTACATGATGTGGAAGTGAAGGGGAATAACCTGTCCTTTTCATAAAAAGGCATGGAAAACAGTTAGATGTGCCAATGCACAGGTTTGCCGTCCTGAACTTATGTGGTTGAGCTGTTGCACTAATTCAGATTTATATATTCTGTTTACATAAGACTTTCTGCATATCTGTTTCTTTACTTATGCAATACATACGTTTATCATTTTTCAAGTGATGTGCAAAGTAAACTAATAAGTATCTATTATTAGTTTGTTCCAAGTTTCAAAAAATCTAAAAATAACTATTTATAATTATGTAAGTTACATTTGTGTAGTACCTGGCTGTCCCTCCAGTTATTTAATACACATTATAACCTGTATGTAATTGACAAAATATAACCCCTGCGTATTCATTTTCTCCACTCTGTGGATATATTTATTCAGAGATGAAGTATCACTGCTCCGACAAGAAGTCCAAGACTTGCAAGCTTCGCTGAAGGTTGGAAATGTATTTTACTTGCACTTGGTTCTTTGTTTCAAATTGCAAAGTGTTCCGCTGTCTTAAGCAACCAAATTTACCATTCTCTTTCTCCCATCTCCTTTTTTTTTTTTGTTTTGTTTTTTCCCCGTAGGAGGAGAGGTGGTATTCAGAAGAGCTGAAGAAAGAACTAGAGAAATTGCAGGGGCAGCGGCAGCAAGTAATTGCTTTAAAATACTTGAAGCAGGTTTATCATCAGCATTGACATTGAAGATTAATACCTTTTTTGTAAGGCACGTGGCCTGATTTAGTTAGTTCCATAATTTGAATATTGACATGTTCTTGAAAACAAAGCTAGTTATCTCTCAACGATGTAACTGTGTGTATAAATCTGAAAGTCAGAAGAGATAATAATTCATCCATACTACTCACTACAAATTCAGTTCAGACTTTTCCTTCTGTTGGGCTTATTCAGAACTCAGTTTATTAAAGAAAATAAATTGAATGTAGTGTGTGAGAAAGGGTGATGGGGTCTTTCTTGTAAGGACTTTTGGAGAACAGTGGTGTGATTTCACAGACGTCCAGATGAACTGAATGAACAAGGCAAGGCAAATTGTGGTGTGTTGTGCCCTAAGGAAGCTCTCACTTCTTTTATTACTATGAGCTACGTAGATACTGGATTGTTACAAACCTCAGAAATGGCTTTCTGACAGAATGCCTTCTCAGAATGTATTTAATGATGTCTGTAACTTCTGGTTTTAGGGTAGATTTCAATATTGAGGAAAGGGAGGGGGAGGGGATTGTTACTGGAGACTTGCAAGTCTGGAAGCGCGATGGTATTGTGATGCATGAAATGGAAAATCACCTTGGCCTTTTCCAGTCTTCCAGATATGACTGTTTGAAATCAGGTATTTTTATACTGCTGTGCAGTATTTGAGCACAGAAGTCTTTATTTCCCTGTCTTTTCAAAAAATGGGATGAATTTTGGAAGTAGTAGTTTTTATTCCTACTGTCTAATGATGCATTTATTCTGTTTTCTTAAGGATTCTAAGTCTGATGGATTGACAACAGCTATGTCTACAGGTGGCTAACATTTTATTATATTAATTTCTGCACTGTTCTGGAATTTCTGAAAGTTTTTTCAGTGTAGCTTTTAGGTTTATGAAAGAGCACTTCTGCTAAATTAAAGAGTTAGAAAGCTGGAATGGTACAATTACTGGAAAAAAAAGTTCATTGTAAGAGCTTAAGATAAGATAGCTCTTGATAGCTGTAGTATGGGGAAATGTTCCAGAGGCTCAGAGTTTGTAATTTCTAGAAGTGAGACAGGAATTCTCCTGACTCTGAGAGCAGTTCTTGTGAGTAGTTTTGAGCATGTTTTTAATAATTTCATATATTCAAGCATTCAGTACAAGTTTTTTGCTGAGAAAGACTGGTTGTTGATGCTTAAACTGTAGCATTTGTCAGGGCTGGTTTTATTTAGTGTTTTTCTGTGCTCATTGCTAGCAAAGAAAACAATGAATTTTTTTTTTTTGAGGGGGGGTGTGGGGGGGTGGGTTTGTTTTGTGGACCAATAATTATTGCTTTATGTTTTTCTCCATGAGGCAGTCATGGAATAAAATTTTCCTTATGTGTGCATAAAGTATCTGACTGATCATGATTAAAAAGTTTTTAAACGCAGTTTGGGGCTCGGAATTCAGCAGGGCTATTTGGGACCAGTGAAAACCAGTGTGTGCTTAATCCTGCAGAATACTGAACTAGTGACAGGTTCCAGCATCATGCTTGTCGATACTTAACTTCAGTAGAGTTCGCTTTGCTAAGCTGTTAAGTGAATTTGGATTACTTACTTACCTGCTGTGGTTTGTTATGTGCGTGAGTAACTGTATTGTCCTAGCTCTTCCAGAAAATAATACTGTTCTTTTTGTGGAAATAGAATCGTTAGAACGGCAACTAGAAGAGATCCAAGTAGAAAATTTTAACATTAAGCAAATGAAAGACTTATTTGAGCAAAAAGCGGCACAACTGGCTACGGAGATTGTGGGTAAGTATATTAATATGGGGTCTGATTGTGTTCTCTACTTGTGTAACTTATGCAAGTGATCATTTATCCAACTTCCTTCTTGTTAGATCTTAAATCAAAGTATGATGAAGAAATCAGCCTTCGGGAGGGTGCTGAACAGAAAGTAACAAACCTGAGACAAGAACTGCAAAAGGAGAGAAGTACAGTGGAAGACTTAAAGACAGAGCTGGTATTCACATTGCACTAATGTTTTCAAGTCAAGGGAGGGTTATACTTAAATGCTTGCAAACACAGTTTTAAAGCAGTCAGACTCTGTTGAACTTGGAGACATCTGCTCGTGGGTTGAAAAAGTTCAGAACACCTTTATTTCTGATCTGTTTCACTGGCTGACATTTTCAGTTTTTTTTCCAGATAGGAAATGTATGTTTTTTTCTGACATATATTAAAATTTACCCTACATTGTATTCTAGTCAGCAATTTTGCTGTGCAGGCCTTACTTGGAGCATGCCATTGCTGACTTACATGGCTGTCTTTAGGTCACCCTTTTCCCATGAGGTGTTATGCTCTGACCATCCCTGGACAGCTGCGTTTGTAAGAAGTGCTCAGAGAGGTGTTTTGTGACGTGATGGCTGAAAGGCTGGCAGCTGTCATCACCATACCGATGTTAATGTTGTCCCTTTTGCGCTTGGCTAATAATACCCATGTGTGTGTGTTCCAGGATTTTGGCTTCTGGTGACTTTTATATACAGCTATGGCTCCAGGGAGCAATCCCAGGGGCTCAGCAGTTGTGCTGCTTCTAAAGCAGTAGTGAAGGGGACTTCCTAGTTTCTCCCACTCAACCACTGCTTAGACTCTGGAGGACAGTAGGACTTCTTTATCCCCCTTCTTCCCTGTATTTGGCTACCCTGAAGGGGTTGTGAGTCCCTTTTGGTGGCCCTGCCCAGCCACTGGACCTATGCATTCCTCTCTGTTCTGTTGTTTCTTGTCTACTTTTCTCCATCTGCGTTCTTAACCTTTTCCTGTACCTTTTCTCTTCTAGGTGCCAGCACTTCTTTTCTCTGCTTTCTTCGGTGCCCACTATTGCCTTCCCCCTCCTTTCGCTCCATAGCTTTTCATTTTGAGGGATGTTAGGGTGCTTTAGATGTGATTACCAACAGATTTTACCTGTGGGTCGGGTATGGGGCCTGTCTGACAGTGCCTTCAATGCATTTCCTTCAGCTGCCCTTTTTTGTCTGTTCTTGTGGTTTTCTGAAATAGCTCTTGAAGACAGAGGCAGTGTCATTATAAAAGTCTGTGTAGCACTGGATTGTTGTGTGTCATACTTGTGAGTATTACAGCAGCAAAGTATGTACAGTAAGCCGTTCTGTAGAGTAGTGGACTCAATACAGCCTGCTTCTTGGAGAACTGTGACTTCAGCTGAATTTCTTGCATGGATTCCATGTCACTTCAGTGTTTTCTCACAGGGAAGGTCTCCTTCCTGTATCTAGCCAACTACCTGCATAAAAATTACAGAAATTTAATCTTTGAGACCTTTTTCCATTTGTCAGATTTGGTTGAAATCAATCAACAAGTTCAAAGTTTAGCAGGCAAGAACTGACAACCAACCATTAAATCCTGTTTCATTTGGGAATAAGTACTGTTTTCTGTTCTGAGTTGTTTTTGTGGTTTTTTTTTCTTTCTCTTTCTTTCCTCTTTTTTTTTTTTTTTTCCCCTACAGCTGTAACACTGTCTATGTCACCTTGTCTATAAATTGATTATTTGAAAGATTTTGAAGATGACATTGACACTGGAAGCATGTCTGCCAACAGTGTGTTGCTCATTGCTACTCTTCTACTTTTCAGCTGCAAAGGCCTGGTGTGGAAGATGTGGCTGTCCTGAAAAAGGAGCTGGTCCAAGTTCAGACGCTGATGGACAAAATGACGCTGGAACGTGAGAGGGAATCTGAAAAGCTGAAAGACGAGTGCAAGCACTTGCAGGCAGAGCAGGCTAACTCAGAGGTAATAATCATACCTGAAAACGTCTATGCTAGCTTTGCCATGGTTTTCATATGAAAATGGAAAATATTAATTCATTGTGATGAAAAAGCCTCTTTCTTAACCGAATCTTCTAACTTATCTAATGAACATGTTTCTTCATTACTGTAAATTGCATAGTTCTGTCAATATCTACCCGCCAAAAGCCCCCATGCTTTTTGTTCCAAAACCTTTTCTTGGAATTATTACAAGAGCCCTATAGCAGAGGAAAAGACCTTCTGGCGGCGCTGTGCTCCTTCTGCTAGGAGAGAGAAATAGAGCAATACCTGTGTGATTCAAAGACTTGTTTCTCTTATTGAGCTACATGCGGAGAAAAACAGTTGTTCCTGAAAGTGATGGGTTTTGTTAATGTTTGAGTTGATGTGCCTGAAAATGGATGCTAGAATGTTAAAATACATAAAAAGAAAATATTAATACAAGGTGGATAATAATTTCAGTATTCTTATAGTATGTGTATAATTCTTGAACTTACACAAGGTTTAAAAATCTCAATAGGTGTTGTAAACTGGTTTTCTTTTTTTTTAATTATTTTTTCTATTTTTTACTGTCAAATGGAAGGCCTTTTTGCACCTATTATTTATTGCAGGAATATTTTGTGTGTAAGGTACAGATCTGTTCTGTACACATATCCCCCCAGTCCACTGCATAGTGGCCTCCAAGTGTTACCTGTTACTGACTAGAGAAGAGAGTGACTGCCAGGCCTCACCATATCTTAAGGTCAAGATATTAGGATGTCACCTGTAACCAGTTTTCAGCCAACACCACCTTAGTTTTCCTGTCTTTGTTGCTGCAGTCTAAAGTATAAAATAAAATAGATTGCTCTCATGCTATTTTTTTAAAATTGTATTTTACATTTTTTTCCTCCATGTTTTCCTGGATTTGAACTTTTAAAATTGATCTCATTTAAACGAGACCTCGCTGTCTACGTGAGTTGCAGAATATGCTGGTTTCTTCAGAAGTACTTTGTGAAGTCTTGCCCTGCTTTGGCTGAGTCAGTGGGAGAAGTTTTAAGTTGCTGATGGGAGATGTTAAAACATTTGTCCTTCTTTGTTGTTCTTGCATATAATTGATGATAGCTCTGTGTTCAAGGTAGCAAAGCTAACTGCCTCTCCCATAGGAGATAGTCAGTTTTCTTGTTTTCGGTTTCTCTGCTTTTCCACAAGTGAACACTTCTGCTTCCATACAAGATGTAGAAAAAGGGATGCAACAGCTCTGACTTGGATCTTTAAGAGGGAAGCTTACTCCTCAAACTGTCCCAGATCACTCCTGCCTAAAGTCTGTTTGATGTTGTTTACCATGACAGTGAGGGAAATCTCTGACAGAGATAATGGCAAGAAGTCCTGTTAAAAATACAGTGTCACCAAAAAGCCTTTTGTTTAATGTATATTCCACTGAGGAGTTGGTAAATCCATGCCTGCAGAAGAATTCATTTGCTGGGTGTTGCACCTCACTGGTGGGTTGGTTGGTATAGTTTTACTGATGGATGACTTGACAGTGTAACAGTCTTCATTGAAGACTGTCAGCTGTGTTTGAGACCTTTTAATTTTGCCCTGCCCCTTTTCTGTTGTCCCCCACCAATGCAGCAATGCCAGCAAAACTTGTCCACGCAGAGCTGTGGTCCCTAGTCAAGTGGGATCCTTGCAGAATTCCCCAGCTTACATGAGGGACTGCCTAGGTTTTCTGTAGGACTCCTGGTATCCTCTGTCCTGGTGAGATTTGTGGATGTGAAGGGTTTCTGACATCTTTTTATTCTGGGATTTCATGTGCCCTAGATTTCAGAACTTTCTACTTCTTCATTTGCACTGCAGAGCTTTAGAGAAGTGCTGCCTGGCATTACTCTAAACTCAGGGCTTTCCCTCACGCCTCTGCCCCCAGCAGATATGTTGAGCTCCAGGAACTGTACAAGGGTACAGTATTGTACTAAACATGAATCTACCATTGTTTTCAAGTTAAAATTCTGTTTGCCAAGAGCTTCATCAGACATGAAAAAAGGAATATCACAGTTGGAGTTACGAATATAATGTGGTTATGTGGCTATGTATGTTGCTGCATAATTGCAATTTGGTTTTAACTGTGAGATACCACAACTATGCTGCAGAATTTAAATTTTGTTTCAAAGTACTGTCTCTGTATTCTTTTGTGGTTTTGGATGTTTAGTTTTCATGTGAAGATAAAATGACATAGTGACATGGGTGTAATAAAAATCTTTTGTCTTAAAACATTCTCACAGAAGTGTGAATTGCTCCTGTTCCCCAGATTAGGTATGTTTAAGTTTTGACAGAGCTAGCTATTTTAAAATGTAGCTTTAAAGTGCAGCCTTTAACAGGAAAAAAGACAAGATTTTTTCAGTCCTCCTGAAAGTAACAGCAGACTGGGGAGAAGGCTGCTTGATGCCCCTAGCTGTTTTGGTGTGTTCATATAGCAAGTCTTAGATATATGGAAGGATTATAAACTAGATTGCAGCAATTATAATTTATAATACCAGATGCCTGTGTAGCATCATCAGTATGTAGGCTGAACCAGAGAAGACCAAGGTGCTGTGTGGCAGAACATGGTTAAGCAGTGTCAGCCTGGTTCTTCTCAGAAGTGTTACTGTCTTCTCTGCTTAGTTCCAATATACGGCAACAGTAGCCCAAGATGTGTAAAGTAACTGTGGATGTAAAGTGACCAGTCAGATGTTTTAAAAAAATAAAAACTATTCAAAGTCACAGTGGTGAAAACTTTTCTTCTTTTCTTAAAAAAAACCCCCGTGATTGTGAAAAGCATTAGCCATAAGAAGACAAGAAATGGAAGTCCTTCATTGGCAAAATAGATACAGTTCTGACCATAAAAGTTTGGCCATATTTCATCTCAGCTTTGCTCTTTAGGACCACCTCAAGGGCTGGAAGTGTAAAGTAGCTCATATGCCAACCTTGGCTATTTTGCCAAGCTGGCTGAGGTTGTGTATATTAATACTGGTTTCCAAAGTGAAATGTCTTTAAAGTAAGTTAAATTTATGGCGTGGGTGAAGAGAATAGCAAAGATCATCTTAACCGTATACAAGCATCTTCAAATGCTGCAGGAGAAGGATGTGAAGAATAGTATAGCTCTACAGTTGTCACCTACGTGTATTAATTGCTGTCTGTTCCTTTTTTTTTTTTTTTCTTTGTTTGTTGGGTGTTTATGCCTTATTTCAGGGTTGCACCTGCTTTTTATGCCTTATTTCAGAGTTGCACCTGAAACTCTGGTGTGTAGATTTCAATGTTCATTCTGAGCTACTCCTTCCATATTTAGTTTTTCTGTATAGTGATTCCTGCATAATAAACATGTTATGAAAACAGATGCACTGTTGTGGAGCTAAGCATTTCTATGAATCTCTGCAGATTGGTATTTGTTTCAGTATATGATAAGTCTTCATAAAATACAGTGCGTAGGCTTGATTGTTAATTTGAGCACCCACGGAATTAAACAAGATTAGTAGATTAAATTATGGGTAAATTTAATAAAGCCAGGACTTTTTTTTTTTTTTTTCCTTTCCCCATTAAGCAAAGGCATTAAAACACAGGAATATTTGAAAACAAATTTGGGGAAGTGTGCCTGTTAACAGCTTTTGTGACTGCTTCTTTCCATCTTTCATCCATCCATTTTGTTTTTTCTGCTTTCTAATGGAGACCTGTAAATTTGAGGTAAATTCTTTTTGAAAGCTTTTTATTCTTATAGTAGATTTCTGTGGTATCAAGATAATTTCAAGAGGTTGTTCAGCAGATACCTTCCTGTTTGCTTATTGATTCATTAGTCATTCAGACACATCAGGAATGAATATTCATCCGTGATACATTTCCATGTCAAGAATGAAACATGGGATGGACTTGTTGAATTGTGAATGAGAGAAATGTATCTCTGTGCATATAAATTACAATTCTAGTTTGAAAGGCTGCAGTGGTGTCCTTAGCAAACTTCTGCACATTTTCTGCATTATGTTCTCTCAGTAGTGAAATATCCATTCTCTGTTTTCTGAGAACGTCCCAGAACGTTTGTCTGCCAAAGACAGATCCCAGGATGTTTTAGCTACCAGCTTTGTAACGAAATAGCCTCGTAAAGCATGGCATTACAGAAAGTCAGAATTAATAACTATATGTAGTCATATAACATGTTCATGTGTTGTCTTTGGTCTTCATTTTTCTGTAGGAAGATTGTAAGCATGTTTATTGTCTACCACTTCTGTTCTGCTTTAGTTCATTCTTGAATTCAGTATTTATACATTTGTGCTGAAATCTGTGGTTATGAGAACAATAGGGAAGAAAACTTCTTTAGAAAGGTCAGTATTATATAGTGTATTCAAAGAGAAAGCATTCATACACAGCATGCTTTAGGGTAGCCATTGTTACCCATCTAAAGTGCTTTTCTTGTTTGCTTCCATTACCGTATTCAAATACTCTGCAGTCATTTATATATTCTGTTTTGTACCAATCCTGTTTAATGGGGTAGTATTGTTCCCCTGATTATGCTGACCTGCAGGGTTGGTGTGTCCAAAAGTCACACACCAACTTTGCATCAAATGCCAGACTTGCTTCTAGTGCCTTTTCTGGTACATTTTCCTTACCAGGGAGGCAAAGATTTTGGCCATGTAACTGCAATGACTTGGGAGGGTTTCTCTTTGAGCTAGAACTGTAATAACAATTAATGGATAATCTGTTGTGATTTTCATTTGTTTTGGGCTCAACCTGGTGTTTCCTGTTGGACTGGGGCCAATTTTTGTCTTCTGAAATGGGACATGAATGAATCTCAGCTGGGAAATCGTGCTCAGTGGTGCTTCTGTAGCTGATGGTGCTCTGAGATTAGTTTACAGGTGGTTTTTTTTTTTCTTAACCTGTTTAATTGTGTACAAGATGCTTTTTATTTTGCTGCCAGACATCTTGCTTTTGTTGGGTTATGTGTGCAAAGCTTTGTTTTAAATGTGGGTTCTTCTGTTTGTCTGTTCAGGCTACCATTAATCAGTTAAGGGCTGAACTTGCCAAAGGACCTCAGGAGGTAGCTGTGTATGTTCAGGAGCTGCAAAAACTTCAAAGTTCAGTCAACGAACTAGAACAGAAAAACCAGGTGAGAATGCTATTATTTCTTATGCTTGTCCGTTAACATTCAAATGGAAACACATCACGAGTTGCCTTGGGAAGCACTGAAGACTAACAAAACACTTCTTGGTGTTGCAGAAGTTGATAATTCCTTTACTATTTTGCTTAACATGAAGAATATCATAATGTATAAGCAAATGCTGTATTTTAACTATCATCAGTATGTTACAACTGAAATCCTCAAGGCTGTTATGATTGCAGATTTCTAATTGCTGCAGTTTATACTTGCCTACCATTAAGACATCTCACACATTAAAAGAAAAAAGCAGTGCCCTTTGAAATATTACAATGTTTGCATAAAAATTGTAATTCAGAAGACATTTTGAGCTCGCTTCATTGGTCTTCCAGTTTCTTAGCTTTTGGATTGTAGTCCTGCCATGTTTTCTGGCCTTCTGTCAGAAAATTGGAATAAATTAAGCTTCTCATCTTATAAGTATTCCTTGAGAGCTTTTATCAAAGCCTTTTGAGCTTGCTGTGCTTTGTAATTGCATTATGAAAGCATGTGTTGTGGGGTAATAAATGGAGGTAAGGGAGGAAAGGAGACAAGGAGAAAGATGCATGCCACTTTTTGTTGTGTGTATATATGACACCGTATATGAACTGTACACATTACATAGGTGTATTTACCAGGAACCTTTTCAGTCTCAGAAAATAGGAAAAAACAGTGTATATTTAATGTAATCTAATATTAAAGCAGCATTTGCAAAGAATATAAGAAGGCGCAATTAAAATTTGGTAAATTAAACTTGCCTTTAGTAGGGTGACTCTTGGTTTGGCTCATTAAATCAGATGCAGAACTGAGATGGTGAGAATTGGCTATTCTTTTCCACAGACCAGCAACACTGAATCAAGCTTTTGACAAAATTATTGCCATTCAATATAGAGCCCTTGCCTGAATATATTGCTGTTCCATTAATAACATGGAGTGAAATAGATTAATGCATAAGATAACCATACTTTAAGAGAGAGTCCTCTGCTATGTCAGGTTAATACCAAATGACTTGAGGAATAGGAAGAAAAGTGGCAGCGAGCTACTTTTCCTCTTTCAGTTTTAGTGACTTAAAGCAGTTCGCAGCCACCTCTTTATGCAGCTTTTTGAAAAGTGATATTCATAAGAATGCTAGCTGAGGAATCTTGGCCCTGGAGGACTTGGACCTAGAATAGGAAAAGGTAGGACTAGTTTCCCAAATAACAGAAAATTCTCCCACTTCAAACAGTTTACCATCCTTGAAGAAGCTGTCAGGGAGGAGGGAGGAGCCATTAATGCAGGATAGAATATATTGCGTTTTGATATTGTACATCCATTGCAGTGCAGGAAGATATTTCTGTGCATTGACACAGAGTTTTTCAAGCCCATGTACAACCTCAAGTAAGCAAGCTGTTTCTTAGATTTTCAGGAGCTAAACTGAGAAGAGCAGATGACAAGTAGATAAGATCAGTTCTCTGAGACCAGCAGGAACTGCCTTTCCTTCATTTATAAAGCAGCGTAATTATGGGGCTTGGCTTGCCTTGCAGAGGCCAGTAATGGCCTGTAGCCAAGAAGAGACCTAATGTGTAAAACCAGCGTGTTCCCTGCAGTGTAAGACTTGCTGTAATTCTAAACCCATTGCATGTGGGTTTTTTTGTTTGTTTTCTTTTAGGAAAACTGTGATGCATTATCTACAGGGAAAAATGCTTAGTTTCTAACCTTCTACTAGTGTGACTATTCTGAAATTTGATCAGTGACCACAGAGTTTGTTCTTTAATGCCTGGCCACTATCACTACTGACATGTATTACATGTATTTTTCCAAGGAGCAGCTACAAAAGAAGGGATCAGTGTGGTGTTCCCCCTCATGTCTTGTGAGCTTTGAAGTCTCAGGGCTCTTCGTTGAGTACTGGAACATACTGTCATTCCCTCTTTCTTTTCTGTGGAAATCAAGGCTTGTGGAAGAAAGGTGGCTGGTGTGCGCCCACATAGCCCTTTATATATCTGGGGTGCAGCTGGCGCATACATCGGGATGGGGAGCGCTGCAGGGTCCACTGATGACCATAGCTTGGCAGCTCTTGTGGCCTCGAGTCTGCTCGTGGGCTTCAGTCATGCACGGAGGTAGCAGGCTGTTTGGTGAACGCAGCGCTTCTCTCGTGAAAGCAGCAGCAGCTGTTTGTGGCTCTGGCTGGCCATTTGTGACTGCAGAGGGTGTTCAGGTGTTGGGGGCAGTGGCTTTAAACGCTGGCATTTGTTGTTGTGTTGCTCATCAGACCAGGGAGGAAGAAAGAAGAGTAGCACAGAATGTGGAGCAGCATCTCCAGCCATGTGTAGATGGTGATCTTGGCTGTCCTTTGGCTAGCTTGTGAGGTGGTGGTGAAGAGGCTTTGCTGCCTTTTTGGTTTACGTAGCATTCTTGAAAACTTCCCAGAGTTTCAGTCTGCTTCAAGACAACAGTAACTCTTTCTCTTTCTTTTTTCCTCCCCTGCTCCCCCCGACTTTGCTTAAAAATTCATTAGTGCCCTGCACTGACTCTTCATAAAGCAGCTCATAGCAGTTCTACGTCTGACGTGTAGCTCTAGTTACGAAGTAGTAGTAAGGTTAATACCTTGGCTCTAACTTTCTCAGCTACGATGAAAAAGGTTATGTGGTGTGTTTGTATTTTAGGAATACTATTTAGTATGAATGTTAATAATCCTCCCTGATGGTTTCTCTTTAATGGAAAAGGAATTGCAACTTTATTTTATATTCTTGAGAGTGAAATGTATTCTAAAAGCAGTGGGAGTCTTGACACTGACTTCAGGAGGGTAAAGATGGCACCTGGCCTCAGTATGTTCTTTATTTGCTCTCTGCCTGCATTTCATATATGCACATATGAAAATTTCTGCATACCTGTAACAGCAAGAAGTTGGTTTATTTTTCAAGAAACATTTCAAGATGTGCTACTTCAGAGTTAGAATTTAATAGCCAAGCTTTAGTCTTGAGCCAGAATTTTTCACTAAGTTGTATGCTTTAGAAAGTATATATTTTTTTTATATGGACATGTAGGGCATTAATTGTATTTGTTCTTACAGGGGTTGCGGGACTGCTAGAGTTGCCATTTGCAAGATTGCTTGTTTTGTAGCCTCTTTTTTTTTTTTTTTTTTTTAGATTCTTCTGTTTATTTTATCACGATTGTAAAATAGAAGTGTCTGTATGTGGTTTATAATGACCAATGTAGTCGTCATTTGTTAAAATCTGTAAAGAACAAAATTGTTCAACTTACTTGAATAATTTTACAGCTTTTTCTTCTGGCAAAACAGGTTTCATCCCTGGATACTGTGCAGAAATGCACTCTTAAGATGCCCAGCATAGCCAGAATTTCTGCACTAACTATCTTATCTTTGGATAAGTGTTATTCTAAAGTTTCAAAACTGTCTGAAGTTTTGATACATGAGAGTGACCTAGTGTTGGCATTTTTTCAGGCTGACATACTAGAAGTGTTCTTTTTTTTTCTGTCTTTTAATTCAAAGTGTCACTAGTGAATATAGTAGTCACTGAAACTGCAGGAGGAACACAAGCATTTAAAAGGTGTGGATGGTAATGCTCCTCTGAGATGTATATCAGTAAGATGCTGCAATAACTGGAACCTACTGGTACATTTCAAGAAAATGGAATGAATTACCTGGGTTGGATGATGACCAGGGCCTCCCTGCAACTGTATTCGTGTGCTTCAAAAAGTGCCAGTGGAAAATTGAAATGGTTCTTATGGCTTCTTTGTCCTGCTTGGAGATCTCTGAAATTCTAGTTAGTGCCTCAGCTAAGCTTGGGGGAAACGCCAAACTTTCTGGAATTACATCTTATCCATTAAGATACTTGATTTCTATCTGAATATAGTTTTGATTAGTTCATGAAATTTGATAAAAAACATCATATAATAGCTGAAAATGATCTGTAAATACTTCCCCCCCCCCCCCCCCCCCTCCTTTTGTCTCAGTGTGTAAATTTGATAGTATGACCTTAGACCCTGCCATATTTACTATAGTTAATGTGGTAATTAAAATCTGACACTCAGCAATGTTCATGTCTTTCCTGTAGGAAATCCCAATTTTTAATGTTTTCAAAGCAACCGTCCTCTTTGAGTTGTTCTGTATGCAAGGAAATTAAATGATATGAACTAAAATGTAAAAACATCTTCTAAAAGGAAGATTAAGTCATGAGCGTTTCATTCTGTGATTTATCAACATCACAGATTTTATTAGTTTTCACAGGTTCTTCTCCATAATTTTGGTAGCAGATCATGCTGTTAAGTATAATGACAGGGCAAAATTAGTATACTTCTAAAAATGACCAGCATGATGGCTGCACAGGATTAGACAGGAATTAAGCCACAAATGTTGTTGCTTAGGGAATTGTGTGAAGTATAGTGGTACTTGAAAATTTTTTTCTGTATACTAATAACTCAAATTACTATTTCATCTTTTCCCCAAAGAAATGCAGTTGTAATAACCTAGAATTTGAACATTCAGGGGAAGCAAATTAGTCTTCAGGATACAGAAATACAGTTTGTGTCGTGTTCTCAGTAAGAGGAAGTGGATTTAAGTGAGAGTATGAAAAACAGTATTTCCAGTTGAAACTGTGGGCTGTATGGCCTCCAGAATTAACTTCTGTAATACAAAATAGAGGTCAGTATTTTCTTTAATGATATTTTCCAGTGTTTTTCACTGTTCAGCATCAACACCTGAGAAGAAATTTAAATAATGCATTGAATATCTGTAATCAGAATTGCACTTAAATTGCTGTGTAACTCTCTTCATAGAGTCTGACTGAGAAGCTGCTGAAGAAAGAACAGGACTACACCCAACTAGAAGAAAAACACAATGAAGTATCTGTGAGTAAGAAGAACGTGCAGGCAAGCTTTCACCAGAAAGACCTGGACTGTCAACAGCTTCAGGCAAAGCTGTCTGCATCTGAAGCCTCGATACAGAGATTACAGACAGAGCTAGGTGAGAAGGCAGAAGCAAGCCAAAAACTTAAAGAAGAGTTGTCTGAAGTAGAGACAAAGTACCAGCATCTCAAGGCAGAATGTAAACAGCTGCAGCAGCAGAGGGAGGAAAAAGAGCAGCATGGCCTGCAACTCCAAAGTGAGCTCAGTCAGGTAAGGTTCCTTAAACCTCCTAGACCATCCTATTGGGGTGGTTCCTTAAACCATCCCGTTAGGGTTTTTCAAACTGTGCATGCATATTTTTCGTGCCCATGCATTTACATTTCCTTATTGAATGGGAGCGGCTAACCAGTGCTTGTATTTGAATAAATATAAAGCTGGCTGGTATTTGAATAAATATAAAGCCTTCTTCCTAACACTGCGGAGACTGAAACAGAGTCACCTCTTCCCCTTAGAGAAGTAAGGAACAGAACAGGCAGAAAGAAGAAATTGTGATAAGAGTGCAGAAATTCTTTGGTATTTGTCATTAAGTCTGACTCTTTTTTGGTAGGTCCAAACTCTCATCAGCGGCAAATGAGGATATTTGTAGCCCCTGTGTCACACTCAAACTTAGCAAGATCTACAGTTAAAACCACCTTGCCACATTTTTTATTCGTGAGAAGGCTGATGTAGTATCTGTCTATCTGTAGTATAAATCCCCTTTTTCTGAAAGGGAAACCTCTTACTAATTCTGTTCTATCTGGAACTCTTCTTAAAACTGCCTTTATAATTTCAGTTTTGAAGATTAAGGTTGAATGAGCATAAACTTTGTGGCTTATTTCTGATGTTCTGATTCGCCTTTTTTTTTTTTTTTTTAAAGGGCTTTTTAAAAGGCTTTAGCTGATCTGAGACAGGTTTTTGTTGTCCACTCTTTTTCTTTTAGTGTTAAATGAACTCTTCTTTCATCCTGCAGTTTTTCCCTTCCCCCTTTTCTGTTGATGCATTCCCTGAAATAAGGGAAGTATTGTCAAATGAGCGGGCAACACAGAATATTGAGTTTCCATGACAAATATGGTAATAGGCAAATCCTAAGAAGTCAGCAAGGTTATTTATTCTGGTTCTGTAAGGTAGCTGAAGCTATAATGAATTCAGGTTATGAGAAAAACAGATTCAGATAGAGTATCAGAAGACGTTTCACTTCTAGTAGTAATTTTACTCCTCTATAGGAAGTTTGAGAAAAGTGAGTCTTCATTTTGCATTAGAGCTGAACAATGCTTGATTTGCTTTAAAATTGAATAGTGAATACAGTAGGGGATACTTAGTGTGAAAAGCAGGGATAATGTGAAGACTTAATACTGATTCCTTAGTGTCTCTCCACAAACACCTTCTCTTTATCTTGCTGACAGCTATGAGAACTCCCAGAGCATACATCCCCCCACCACTTATGTATTGTTCTGCTGAGTCCAAGCAGGACTTTCATACAACTTTGAGCATACTGAAATTTGAGGCTGGTTGAACTCTGTTTTATCTAGGGTCTTGGGGAGTAATGTGTTAGACTGGAGAAACGTTTTTGCCTTAGGAATCGTGTCTAGTCCTAAAATGGAAAAAATAACCTGTTGTTTTTGTTAGTATGACATACTTCATTTTAATCTCTTGCTAAAGCTTTATCATTTTAAAGTGAGTGTTTCTCAATTTTCAACCCTTTTGTCAAGTCTGAAATAGATTAAGCTGCAAGCTGTGAGTATATAGTTTGTCTTGGAAGAACTGTGGCTTGGCAAAACTTCATTTATGTCATTACATCCCCAGAATGACTTTCCTTCTCCCATCAGTCTTCTGTCAGGGGGAGGGGAGATAATGTTAGTTATATGCTTAGGAATCCTCACTTGGTAAAACTGCCATCAGCCTGCCTAGGCAACATGAATGCAGGCTTCAGAAGCACAACCCAAGAGGTTGAGCTGAAATCTAGCTTTAGTCTGAGAGGGCATTTGCAGGAAGGATTTTTGGGGTGGGAAAATGAGAGAGGAGGAAGGTCAATAAAGCATTGCTGAATGAATTCCTATGAAAGGAAATGGAGGCGTTGCATGTTCTCTGGTGATACCATTGGGAAGGAAGACAGTCTAAGCAAGAAAACCTGAACAAGCTGCTGGATCTCAGGATGTGTTTTAGAATTGTGTTGTAAAAGAATGATGGAGGAAGAAAAGCCCTTCATACATGGTATAAAATAAAATTAAAGCCAAGCAAAACCTTCTCTTTCTCTCCTTTCAAACAAGAGTTCAGTTACTATTGTCATGAAAAGACTAAATTTCTCCTATTTGTTTACTTAATACTTTAATGGAATTATCTTTTTGTGCATGTAGTCCAATAGCTTCTGTTGACACAATGAATGCTGCTTATGAAGGTATATGTATAGTTGTTGAGTCAAACCACATTTTCAAGGAATCCTTGCCATGTTCTCAAAATTCATTTGAAGAGATGCATGTCTGGTTAAGTTTGTGTATTTTAGAATTTGGGTGATGTGAACAGAGTATCTTCACAATGGAAGGAAGCTCCAATGATAATGTTGGTTCCAGCACAACAGTAGGAAGAGGGTGACACAAGAAAATACGGACTCCTTCAGTCTTGAAGAAATGTTAATTGCTAATAAATACTGTTGTTATTGTTGAGAAAATTTGAATCTACTTGATTGTATCATTGAGAGTCTAAATATTTTTTTGTATTCTGTAACATAGATTAATCCTGGATTTTATGGTTACTTAAAGTCAGTCTTAAGGTCCTTCAAAAATACTTAACTGCACCTGTAACAAAAGTGACTTTTGTAAAATTTTGGTTGCTGATTTCCCCCTTTCCAAATATTCTCTCCTTTTATCAACGTAGCCATGAATAGTTGTAATAATTACCTTGTTGCACCCTTTCTTCATTAGATTTTTTTTTCCTTCAGCTCTTGTTTGTACTTTTAATGAGGAGGAAGTATTAATATTTTAGTTATTCCTGTGGAAAAAGACAGATGTTCTTGATTACTGGAAGAGAGTTTATGGTCTCTTTCCTCACCCTGTCCTCCCTCTTCTCTTACCTCTCTCTTAACTGCAGTCATAGTTAGCAATCAGCACCTCGGCCGCATGCCAAACGGTTTTTCATTCACGGGTTTTGTGGTTGTGGATATATAAACAAATAATTTAGCTTGGTTTCCTAAGAAAATAAGGCACAGACACATTTGTTTTCACTGTCTCCATCCCCTGTAACTTTTGCATTGTTTGATAACTTCAGCCAAATTTTGACAGATGGCCTAAAGGTACGCAGTGTTAGGTTCTTCAGTGTTACATTCTTATGGAAACAGGCAGCTCGGTAGAGCAGAGAGACTTATATTTGTACCTCACCTCCTCAGTGCCCGTGGGGAAGATTTAATGTTATCGGAACCACGATTCCTTTTCCTGTCCCACTAGGCAGCCGGCTGGTCAACAAGCGGTAGCTTGCGGTGAGCAACAAGGTTGTGCTGTGTTTTGCCTAGATACTAGTATGAATTTGAGAAGGATTTAGGAATATTGAAGGGAGGACCTGGGAGTTAAAAGGTGAATGGTTCAAGGGTCTTGGACATAAATTCATAGGAAAGCAAGCTTCCGTCATCCTGACACCTGTAGGAAGTTCTTGCTGTGCTGCAAGGCCTGATCCATTCTCTGTTTTTGCATTGTGTTGGAAGTTCATTTGTGAATCTGTGAATGAGTTCATGTAGAAGTAGGCAGGAGGTAACCCAGGACCTATAGCGATGGTTTCAAGTAGAAGAACAGCTGGTTTTATGGAGAGAGCTTTTTATAGCAGTGAATAGTAAAGGGTCATCCTTGCACTTTGGAGATAGTGCAGTACTGCTTTTGATGACTGAAAAAATTATGAGGCAGGCTTATGTCCAGCTGGAAGAGCGCATCCCCCTACTGACTCTCCGCTGCTGAGAGGTGCTGGACCCTACACTGAAGGTTCATTACCTCTCCTCTGGAGTGAAGGAACCATTGATGTAGCCAGGTCAAGCTAAGAATTACACTCTTACTAGTCTAGCATTGCGGAACAGTATATTGTGGGAGCCAGTGGAGCAGGTAAAGGCATCGTGCTTCAGCCACTGGATCTACAGAAGTGTGAGGGGTGCGCTGTGTAAGCTGAGGTTGCTCTCTAAGCATCACCATTTTACATGATAGTCCTCATGCCTTTGGAGGATTGCCCTCTCTGGGTTTCTGTTAAATCTCTGTAACTCATACTGAAGGCCTTCTGTAGATAAATGAGGATGTTTCTGAGTCCCTCCAACCTACTTTTTTTGAGTATTTGTTCATGCTTGTGCATTTGATGCTGCTCTTTAACATGACCTGTGTTTCCGAGGTGCATGAGGTACATACATGACTTCAGGAGCTCATGTAGTTGTTTTACTCAGGGTTATGAAAACTTTGCACAAAGTGAGTCTAAAATACAGCGCTGTTAACTAAAGAATGACTAAAAAAATGGATGACACTTTTTTTTTTTGCAGTTGCACAGTAAACTTCTAGAAACAGAGCGCCAGCTAGGCGAAGCGCACGGGCGGCTCAAGGAGCAGAGGCAGCTCTCTAGTGAGAAACTGATGGACAAAGAGCAGCAGGTGGCCGATCTGCAATTAAAACTTTCTCGTGCTGAAGAGGAGGTAGGGGCTTTTATGCAAACTCTAGTTTGTTCTGGTTCTGATAGTAGCCTGTATATACGCTTGTGGTGATGATACAGTTTATAAAGTTCGTCCTTATGGGAACTTCATTTGACTAATACTGTTGAAAGTCTTACGGTAAAATTCTCAACATCTGCCTAAATGCCACTTGCATTACAGATTTTTGTAAGGCTAAGTGCTCATCGGATGCGTGTATGTTCATGGTGCTTTACAGATGAACAATAGATGTGCGTTTTGCACTTATTAGCTTTGTCTAAGGATCTTACCAAAAGAGACTTAGGTGCACTTAAGCCCATATAGGTAAAGTTTTTGTGTAGATATTTTATTGAAATGAAGCCCTATGTGAAGAAAAAGTGAACATGGCACAGCAGGTCATTGATAGTTAATAACCTGTGTGGGGTGGATGGGCAGAAAACACTTGTTTTATTAATTTTTATTTGTTTTAATAAGCATCTTGTATATGCGGCTGATTTTCTGCTGCCTGTATGGGGACTGGCCAAATATTGGAGTGGTATGTTGTCAAAGCTTTAAAGCTTTTCTGTAGCTAATTTACAAAGCCTTGACCAGTATAGAAGTGGAGAGACTGCTAAACTGAAGTTGCTACTAAAACTGCTAATAATAGTAATAATAATGTTGTTTTACAGGTATCTATATTATCAGTCATGTTACACCTTAACAAATGTTGGAAAAAACATACTAAAAATCCCTTTTGTTTTAGATATTTTGAGAGCTATAATACATATATATCTGATGGTTGTTTTATAGTTCTTGCTTATGATACAGAATCTCACCTATTAATAGAAATGAATGCTTGGTTAGATTTTGATTCTTTAACTAGCATTACACTCATTTTTATACCAGTTTTCAAATATTCCTGTTTAGACTAAAATCTTGTAGCTTTAGAATGAACACGGAGCATTACTGGCATACTGAATGGTGCTTGTTCACTCATTAGTCTGGTTGGTTTGTTTGATTTTTGGTTTTGGTTGTTTTTTTTTTTTTTTTTTCAGCTAAAGGAAAAAGCAGCAAATTCCACTGAATTGCAACATCAATTAGATAAGGCAAAACAGCAGCACCAGGAACAGCAAACACTTCAGCAAAATACTACAGCAAAACTACGAGAAGCCCAGGTAACATAGTTATGTATCCCCACGTGAAAGTGTATTTCAGGATTTCGTTGTTTTAAATAAGTTTTCTCTGTAAAAGTGGCTTGCGTGCTGTATACTAGTTTCAATAATTTGTAAATCTAGAACAGAATAATACAGAAAGTATTTAATAAATGTATCCAACGTTTTATGCATTAGGAATAACTTCCAAGGTCCTTATAATTAAGGAAACTACTACAGAATCATAGAATCTTTTTGGTTGGAAAAGACCTTTAAGATCATCAAGTCCAACCATCAACCTAACGCTACCGAGCCCGCCACTAAACCATGTCCCTAAGCACCAAATCTATGTGATTTTCTAGAATGATTTGGAGCAAGTACTACGACAAATTGGAGATAAGGACCAAAAAATTCAAAATCTTGAGGCTTTGCTTCAAAAAAGTAAGGAAAACATCTCTCTGCTAGAGAAGGAAAGAGAGGACTTATATGCAAAAATTCAGGCTGGTGAAGGAGAAACTGCAGTTCTCAACCAGCTCCAAGAGAAGAACCATGCATTGCAAATACAGGTAAGAACTCGGAGACTTGTTTCTTTTCTTTCATTCTCGTTATTGAATCTTGTTTCCTTTTTCTCTGTCTCATCAAGATTTTAAGCCGCAGTTAGTTCTTATCTGTACTTTGCTGTTTCTTTGATGCTTGCTTTAAAGATCTTGGTGTAAATTTCACAGGACTTTTGTTTTGATGACTTCCTTGCAATCCGTGTAGGGGAAGGAATTGCTAGCTATTTCTTATGTATGCTACTATATATGCTAGTAGTATGTGCTTACAAATAATTTTTGGATGCATATACATGTTTGTTTCTCTTAAAAAGAGGTTCAATTCCCGCTTTCAACACCAAAATTCAGTTTAGCCTGCCATCTGTTGTCTCCTTAGTATTTTGTTTTTGTTACAGTAAAGCCAAATTGCCGATTCCCATTTGCTTCCATTTTCAACTGGTAATCTATTTAAACTCTGGTATTGTGTACAATATAGCTTTACTGTAATAATTCAGAAAAAGAAATGTGATAGTGTTGGGCCTTCAAAGCCATGATAAGACACGCTAGAATTTGATAGATTTATGACTACTTTGGACATCCTGTTCCAGCCTTCTCTTTTACTTACCTCCTTTTTTTTTTTTTTTTTTTTTTCACTGCAGGTAACTCAGCTGACAGAGAAGCTTAAGAATCAATCAGAAAGTCATAAACAAGCCCAAGAGAATTTGCATGAGCAAGTGCAGGAGCAAAAGGCACATCTAAGAGCTGCTCAAGACCGTGTGCTTTCCCTGGAAGCAAACATCACTGAACTAACAAGCCAGCTGAATGAAAGTAAAGAGAAAGTATCACAACTTGATGTACAGGTAATGGAACTCGATATTGTCTGGTTATGATAAATCCTCTTTGTGATTTTTCTGTTCTCTCCAGAGAACATACAATGCAATTTAGGAAAAATTGCATGTTTCTACTAACACATGAATGAGGTAGAATAAGGCAGATAAAACTGAGGAAAATCTAAGCAGATTCATAATAACAATAGATGGCAAGTGTTGGGGTTTTTTTTTTTTTTTTGTTTGTGTGGTTTTTTCTTTGTTTGTTTTTTAATTTAAAAAACCCCCAGAGTTCATAATTGCATTGGGAAAATCTGTCTTCAAGTATCTCTTGTTGTAGTTGTAATGATTAGCCATCAAAACCCCTGTGCTTATCAGTCCTGTATTCTGTACACTGGAGTAAAAGTCTGTCAGGTCTCTAAGATCTTGTTGCCTAGAAATTTCCTCTGCTGATGTCTTTTGTCAAAAACAAAACTAAAAAGTTGCGGGCCACCTTGTTGTCAATTTAATTTACTAAGCAAGGAAGTTCCCCAGTATGGGCTCAACGTGGACTCTCCTACTGTTTAAGTGCTGCTTAAGCTAAAAGCTGCTAATTATGTTCAGCTATCCCAAAGAATAAATAACATTTGATCAGAAGTTTGGCAGCTATTATGTTCTTGCATTGGTACACTTGGAGCAGCTAGTTCTGTTGTTGGACTAACGTGCTGTGGTGTCTTTTGAATCACTGTTACTGAGTTTCCAAACAGATCTAGGAACTTCTTCGGATGTAGCTTTGTGGTGTTTTTACTGGGCTTTGCTACAATATCTCAGCTGTTTGTTCACCAAGACATTAGAGTTAGAACTGAATAATCTATGGACCGTTGAAACTGCTTTTTAAGGCAATGTGTGCTTCTTTACAGTCTTCAGAGAAGTAGCATTTCTATTAAGAAGAAACATAGTAAACCACAGTAGCAGGTGGTCCTGAATATTGTCTCTGTGCACCAACACCTGCCTTCTGAATTTTGCTTACTGGGTATTTTGGAAGGCAGGGGAGTTGCTGCCTGACAGACAGGAACAGAGAAAGATACTATGCATGTCGAAGCGTATTTTTGTTGTTGTTTTTGCTTTTAAAAATTTTGAAGGACCTCGAATGTGCATGTCCTCTGAGGTTATGTTTGTGAATGCAGTAAGTCTATCCCATTGTTCCTTGCTTGTAAGTAAAAATATTTTCCTAGAACAGAAGATGAGTGGGACTGGTGGGAGGTTTTTTGTCTGTTTTTTTAGCTCCAAGTAAGAACTAACTGTTGCTTAAAATCCTGATTTTTTTGTAAACTGAAAAACTTTTTTTTTGAAGTAACACATGAAAACTACTGATTTTACTATTGAACTACTCATGAGTATAAAAAAATTTAAAATGAGCTAAGGTAAAAGAGATGTTTCAGTGAAATACAACTTGTCTTTCAGGTAAAAGCAAAGACTGAATTGCTACTTTCAGCAGAAGCATCGAAAGCTGCTCAAAGAGCAGATCTTCAGAATCATCTGGACACTGCCCAGCACGCACTGCAAGACAAGCAACAGGTTATAAGCAACATAGAAACATAAAGTTTCTATGTTACCTAAAAAACCTACTTAAAAACCTAAGAATTGTCTGTTTGCGATCTATAGAAACATGTGGTTATGCATGCATTTGGAAGTCATCATTTAGGATATTTTAACCATGTGATATGCATTCAGTTCTTTTTGCTGTAATCTGGACCAGTTCTATTTTGCAGTGTAAAGAATTTACTTGGGAATCCACTCCTTGCTGTAGGATTATAGTTCAGAATATAAATTGTCCTATTGGGGTGAAATTCCATTCTCACCGGTATGTTATGAAGAAAAGATTGTAGAATGCACTGGGTACAAGTGAAAATTCCTAACTCTTATTGCAGATTCAGATAAATGCAGAATCAGATGCCTGCATTCAGAAACAATTACCTGTGTGCCATAAGACACCAAAACCCAGAAGACTGTTGTTAAAATTGCATGTTTTAATCTGTGTTAATCTTGGTGGAGCCTTCCACCAGATGCTGAATCAAATATTTGCATTGTTAGAATCAGTGCTGCTGTGGTCTTCATGGAAACATCCAGCAGATGCTAACACAGCATCATTTTTTAGGGTTCGCTATAAACAGACCTCTTTTGGAAGTACTAAATAATTAATTAATAATTGAATAAATAAGCTTGGTTGGAGTGCAACGAGCTTTCATGTTGCTGTCATCATAGTGGTTACTAGGTGAATGCATTCATGTCTTTTGCAGAAATTATGTTGTTTTCTGATGAACCAAATGGTTTGAAATCATCTCTGGTATGTGGAGAACTGACTGATTCCATGGTATTGGCTTTCCTCTTCAGTGGTAGCTGATTTCATGAAGACAGCAAAAATTTTCTCTAAGGTTTTGTAGTGTTACTTTCAAGTTACTGTTGTACTAACTGCAGGATCTAGTGCCTTTATTACCGACAATTTGTCTTCCATTTACAACTTCAGACACCTTTGTTAAGATTTAGCCCACAGCCTGTAAAGTTTGAGAGGACTATTGAGGCTTTAAAAGAAATTTTGTCAGTTTAACAGAGAATTTGTTCAAGTTTGTGTTTCCTCTCTCAATTTCCTTCCCCTCAGAATAAAAAAAAAGAGACATTATATTCCTTTTCAGTTTGAACACATTAGAACATTTAAAGCATATGTGACATTAGTAATTTTTGGAAGTTATTTAAAAACTAACAACCCTCGTATTTTTATTTTACCTCAGGAGTTAAATAAGGTCAGTGTTCAGTTGGATCAGGTTACAGCTAAGCTGAATGACAAGCAGGAGTACTGTGCTCAGCTGGAAGCCAATCTCAAAGACTACAAAGAGAAACGTCTTTATTTAGAACAGAAAACTGAAGAGCTGGAGGGACAGCTTAAGGTTCGTATTGAACACAGTATCTGAGGTTACAGAAGCTGATGTTCTCTGCTGTTTGGTAGCATGTGATAAAAGCTGTGCTCTAGTTAAGGGGGAAGGGTTGTAACAATACCACTTGTAGATTTTCACTAGTGTTTCCTGATCCACTGTTTAACCCTATTCTCCTCTTCTTCCATGCTCGCATATCACACTAAGAAGACAGGCTTAGGACATTGCCACTGCACATTCATTTTCCTGTATGTGTGCTTCTACCAACCCCTGTGCCACCTGGAAAGTGTTATAAGAGGGAACATGAATACTTCCCAAAATTAGAATCTTCAAGTTCAATCTTATACACTTTACAACTGGTAGCAGGGAATATGTGTTACATGAGTTAGCCCAAGTTAACACTACCTGTCTGGTTTGATTTATTTCTGAAGCCTTTCAGTAGGCTTATACAGAGAGAGGCTTTTTATCAAGATTTTTCTCTAACTTGATCTTGAGTTTTGCATTCCTTTTTGGGAATAATTTTTTTTTCTTAAAGTACACACAATTCTGGCAGAAGGTTTGCAGAACCTTTTGGTGATTTGAGATACTAATATTTTCAGTAAAGGATATGAAATAGTCCTAATGCTTGAGTACCTTCAAATTTCGACTTTAACCATTGTTCAGTATTTTTTTAAGCATTCTTGGTGGTCGAAATTCATGATACATAAAACCATATGTTACAGGGATCTTAGGAGCAATGCAGAATTGGTTTTAGTGTTGTCTCTGTTTTGAGGGAGATTAGCAGTCTTTGTGCTCAAGGTTGAGTGGGGTGTTTTTCCTAGTTTATGTGCTCTGTAGAAAAGAAGGGAGGTTGTTTTCCTCGTATGAAATTTTAAATCCAATGCTATTAAAAAATAAAGCAGGCACACATTTGCATTATTTTGTGCTTCTATCTCCCTCCTCTTTTGCACGCTGCTTTTTTTTCTGCCTGCTTTCGTTTGTGTCTTTATTTTTCATCCTTTTGCTAAAGTTTCACAAGTAACCAACAGACACAAACACTTGGGAGGAATATAGTGCTTGCTTGCACAAGGTTTTATGAGGTTCCTGGTAGCTGAAGTGTGAAACTGAGCAGGGTCGTTGATGCTGTCAACAGGAATGCAATTCTGTGTTAAATCTTTGTGTCATCACCATTCTTTGGGATTATTCCAGTTGAATGTGTGGTATTTAAAAAAAAAAAAGAAAAAAGAAAATAAAAAGCCCTCAAGAATTTTGTTGGAGAAATTTGGCCATTTTGTTTTATGGCCACTGCATGAAAGCAGAAGAGCCTGTAAAACAGGCAGCATGTTGAGGACTTGTAAGCAGCACCCATTTGCTGAAGACTCCTGTGTTCTTTATACTCCATGTAAATGAACACGCACCTTCTGAAAACAAAGCAAGAAAAACTACTTGTAGGCAAGCGTGGGATAGGATTTCTTTACAGCTGTAGTTTGTGTCTCTGTTTATGTTATAAAGAACGGCAGAGTTCTTAGGATATGTAGATCAGCAATCATTTCAAACTCCTGAAAGTACTTGGAGGTGGCTGAGAACCAGCCCCAAAGCTGAGCTGTGTATGGCCTGGTTTTGTATAGGTGTTTTTTGGATAGGCGCTTGAAAGATTCCTGCTTTTTAACTATTACTTTGCAGTAAAATGGCTGCTTGGCCTTTAATTTAGAGGTGATTTCAGAATGTTTTAACAAAATAGTTCAGTTCTGGAGGAGCGAGAGATTTTCAGGAACTAAATAATGAAAGATAAATAGCAAACTAATGAAATAGGCAGGCGATGTGTGAGAATTGTGACTACTTTCTACAGTGAACACATTCTACGGTAAATGCTGCTCACAGGCTAGATGATTTCTGCTTTTTGTTGCTATTTTTATTTTGTTGGTTGTGTTCTGATGGCTCTAACGTTTTATTTTTCCATCTCAGAAACTTGAAGCTGACATTTTTGATGCTAAAGCAAGCAAAGAACAAGCTCTTCAGGAGTTACAGCAGCAGCGACAGCAATCTACAGAATTAGACCTCCGAACAGCAGAACTGAGTAAACAACTTGAAGCAGCAAGAGAAGCGTATGCATTTCCTATGTTACAGTACTTTTGAAAGGCAGACCTAGAACTAGAGTGGTGTGGACTAGAGTTGAAACTGTGTTCTCTCCCGTGATTTCCTACAATCATAGATAAGTGATGTGTTCCCTCTGCTACAAGAATTGAGTTTTATCCCACCTGTTTTCTTTCACTCTATGTGCCATGCAGACTCCGTCTGCCATGTTGTCTCATGAGTCACTGACTGATGTGATTCGATACACTTCTTTGGTTTATTAACTATGCTTGTTGTCACCTAAATATCTGAACAGGTTGATGTCATGACATCCGCCTTTTAATATCTGTTGCTCTGTAACTTTTTTCAAGGAGTAATTTTCAAATTAAGCAGAAGCAGCAAAGAGGTATTTTCTGTTTAGTGTAGTTGAGGAAGAAAAATCCATCTCAAAATGGTTTTTTAGAGTTGCTGGTATGTCTTCATTGGAAGGACAAAATGCTCATGCTCTGATGAAAAAGGTATGCCTTGAAGTAGTTTTGCAGTTAATGTATTAAATAATAGAGATATTTAATGACACAGAAGAACCTGTGAAGAAGGGTTTTTTTTTTAAAAAAAAGTATTATGTTTCTCTTTTTGTATTTGCAGGATGTCTAATGCTAAATTGGATTTGCAGAAGAAGTCTGAGGACCTTGAACAAGCGAAACAGCAAATTTCAAAGCAGGAGGAGGAAAAGGCCAGCCTCAAACAAAACCTAGAGAAATCAAACCAAGATACGAGTAAACAACTCAAGGAATTAGATTGTAAAATGCAAGCAGCAACATCAGAGCTGCAACAAGTGAAATTAGAGAAGGATGCTCTATTAAAGGATCTTACAGCTACCAAAGACAAGCTCTCAAAAAGTGCTGAATCCTTCAAAAAAAGAAAGGAAGAATTAGAAAAAGAAATACAAAAAGGAAAAGCAGCTGTGGCAGAAATGGTTAGTAGCTTCTTTCATTAGACATTGTTTGTTGTATTTACAGTCTGATGAAGTGCTTTGCTTTCTGTCTGAAAGCAGTGTAAATACAATGACAATGCATGGAAATCAATTGCCTTAATGAAAAATATTGTGGTTTTTAGTAGTTCATACATCTGTCCTACCTTAAATTTTTTTTTCTGGATGTTTACAATAGTAAACATCAGTCATATCACACAATGGGATCCCTTTTTCTTGCTGATTGCCTTTAATAGGGTGAAGAAACTAGATGGAGATAAGTGGTGAAACACTTTGATGGGAAATGTCCCCGTTTTTAAAAATGCATCAGTCTTATTATAACAACACAAAGTTATAAACTGCTTGCTAAAGTGCCACCATATTGAAGCAGATGTTATTTTTCGGAGATCATTTTAGTTTTCTTTCTGGAGTTTTTGTATATAGAACCTTCCTGTACACTTGTCTGGACACGCTAGAAGGCTGCATACTGCAGGCAGAGTAACATTGTCATTCGGGGAGATGCAGAGCTTAAGGTATTACCAGAGTACTAGAACTATCTGAGTTTCAGAAAGGTCTCGCATGTGACAGTGTTACAAGTGCTTGACTACCAGAGCAACCTGTTATGGCAAAGAAAGTGAACTCCCACTAGCCTTAAAGTACACATTGCTCTTCGCTCCTTTGCTTTGTTAGTAGTATGAATGGGCACTGTGTGAATTCATGTTTTATAGATTTTTTTTTTTTTATACAGTTGTTCTGACACCCCTGCCTCAGACATGTTAGGGGTGCCTTTCTCATTCCCTTCTCATCTTACATGTCACCATTTCCCAGAAGCCATTCAGAGCTGCTTTTATTCTGATCTAAAAAAATTTCTGCTCTTAGTTAAAAATAACATTTTTTCCTTTACTCTTTCACCTTTTAAGATAAGCCTTTTTGTTTGCTTTACTTGGTTACTGCTGTTCAAATATTTGTTTCTCCTAAAAACTTGAAGGATTTTCTCCCCAATTTAGACTTAAAGATAGGAGTCCAGATTCTGCTTCTAATTCTGTAGTCATTTGGAGGCTCGCCACTGTCTTAAGTGCATAGTATTTGGGCTTAAAAATGTAGTTGTATTTGCGTACAAGTCCTGCAAATGTATTTGCTTCTGAGTTTTAGAACATCAAGAAATTTTGGATCCCGAGGAGAGCGATGAGCCTACTGCTTTCCACAAGAAGAAGGGCTGCCAACAGCAGCTTCGAACAGGGAGACTATCCCTAATCAGAAAAACTTTTCAGCATGTGGCTGCGTTTTTTAGTACAGGGTATCAGCTGTGTTCATCTTAGATTTACTGCTGTTTAAGTTTTGAGAAGTTTTGAGCTGAAAATATGTCTGCAGCTGAGAAGGAAAGCTTTCTCACTGAAAAGGAAAGCATTATTTTTCAAGGCTTTGTAGATCCAGCAAAAATACCTGGTATGCTGTCTTAGAAGCTCACAGGAATATTTCCTTCTCTTACGTCTTTTAGGAAAAGTCCTGCCAAGAAGTAAAACACCAGCTCCAGGTACAAACAGAGTCTGTAGCTAAAGAGAGGAATGAATTGAAAAACTCACTGGAAAAAAAGGAAGGGGTAAGCTGTGCACTTAGTTTCAAAAACTTAGAAATCAATAATAATGAATGTTTAAAAAGTTCGTTTTCAGTCTCACATGCTGGGACTGATGAGAAATAAAGAGGTTGCTGTTCTCAAATTATAACCTACCCGGGGCACTGAAATAAAGTGATACAAAAAATTTCCTAGATATTATTATGGAGCTTTAAAATACAGGTTTTACTCATACCTTTATGTGCCCCACATACCTTAGTGGGGGATTTCAGCCCTTCAGATTTTTTCATTAGTGAAACAGTTGCATGGTATTACCATGTCCTCATTTTTATTCATACTTTCATATAATAAAAGTTGTTACGTTGTATCCTTAGATCTGTTTTAGTCTCAGGCCTAATCAGTATGTTCTCTATGTGGTTGACAGGATGTTTTCACATATCTTTGAAGGATTTAGTTGCCAAAACTTTTGTCAGTCAGTCGCTTGTCTGTGACTGCATAAGGACCAAATGTACTTCTTTTTTTAAAGATGAGCATTCAGACTGCAAAATCATGTAGTCCAGCTTGCAGCCGGAAGGCCAAATCTGCTTTCATGGATTTCTTTACCTGTTCCCTAAAGGAATCAGAAAAGATACAATCAGTGGACACAGTTTGATGGACTGTGATGGACTCTTGCTGCCTGAAGGAGGGTTTGTGGATGTACAGGTGTGATGGTAATTGCTCTGTACTGCTGCTGCTGCCCTGGCTCCTCTCTTGTTCAGCAGAAGCACTATGGTGCTCTGTGGCAAGTGTGGGAGGATGAGTTTGGTGTCTCCAGTTGGTAGCAGGAGAGCCCAGACCACGGCTGGCTTGAGAAGAGTTGCCTGCTCTTAATTTTGAATGGTGAAAAAAGACTGCAGTTGCTCTAAGGGTAGGAAATTGGGAATAACAGATGATTTTAATGTGTTATGGTAGCTCTTAAAATTTACTTGCCAGCGTTCAACCATTGCTCTGAAGCAGAAAGTAGCAGCAGCACTGTGGGATGGTCTGGTTCTGTGTACAAGAAATAACGGTAGCATACTTGGAAACTGTTTCCTGCAAATAATCTGCAGGTCTTTGTAAAAACATAGGAGTGGGCATACTGAATCACAAGAAAGGTGCCTGGTGTCTGGCAGAGGCAAATAGCAGATGCCTAGAGAAAAGAGTAGGGCAAGCCTTTCAGATTCTTACAGTCAGGGGGATTCTCCTCAACTTCTGGCAGTCTTTTAGGAGCTGATTTCCTGAAGTTGTATCTTCAGCTTTAACAGCTTTGATCAGTTTTTCATCTGTGAAATTGTCTGTTTGCTTTTTGAGCTACATAATTAGTCATCCACACAGTTCAACAGGCCGTTTCACATACAAGAGCATGTACAAATAGTGATTTAAATTAAAATTATATACAGTTATTTAATATTTTTGAATACAGATTTCTAAGCAGTTGTCGATAGAACTTGATTCAGCACGGGCGCAAGTAGTGGAAATTCAGGGTCTTCTGAAGGAGAAAGAAAAAAGCGAGCAACATCTCCAGGGAAAGCTGAGAGAGTTAAAGGACTCTTTTGAGCAGAAGAAAAAACACAGTGAGACACTGCAAGCTGAATTAAAAACTGCCCTTTTAGAAAAGGTAGGACTGGCATCTCTTACACTTCTAAGAAAATTAATGTAAATGTCTCTGATAAATGCTGCAGCTTTTTTGTCAGTATCTTTGAGATAAACAGCTGTTTTCAGTAATCTTGTTGGAAATGATAAGGTCAGGATGTGGAAACAAGGTCTTCAGATGCTGTTGGAGACAGAAACAACATCAACAACAACAATAAAGTAAGAAGAACCAGTGCTGAAATATGAGTTCTGTAGGAATTGAGTTTCAATAAAGTGATAAAAATGGCTAGATTGAATGTGTTTATTTTGCTTCAGGAGCATGCTATGAGGCAAGAGCTGCCATTTTCTTGTAAAGCAGTAGAATTTTGTGAGAGTAGTTTAAACAAACTCTGCAGTGTTTTGGAAAGTCCATGGCAGTTTTAAACCAAGTCTTCTCTTGTTATACCAAAAGAATTTATCCAAGTGACAGTATGAAACTCATAAACCATAGTGGAAAGAGTTCAAAGTCTTACAGCTTTAGGGAATGTTGTGTTGTGTGCCATGCACTGTTAAATGTTGCTCCAGCTTTGGCCGCCCTATGCTACATGATTATATTCATGCTTTAGTCAGTCTGTGGAAACTTTAGGACTTGGAAACATTATTTAGATTTTTAGTGTTTGGTCTTAATATGTTTCACTTAGTCTTTTGACATGAATTAAGTTTTATTGTTAAAATAGTTAGAGAATATTACTGTAAAATCAGAAGCATCAGATTACTGAACTGCTATTTTGTAAGTGGGAAAAAAATCTCATTTTGCAGTAGAAATGCAATTTATTGAAATGATTAAGCTTGCTTTACTCTCTGTAAGTTTAATTGAAACGTCCTATGCTTATGTTTCAGGCAGAACTGGAGAATAAACTGCAACAGCAGTCTATTTTGTCAGCACAGGAGCTTAAAGCAGAGAAAGTCAAGCTAGCAGACTTACAGAAGACCCATGAAAAACATAAGGAAAACATGGAGAAGCTGCAGCTGGACCTTTATTTTTTTAGTCTGAGCTGCTGGCAACCAGGCAAGACCTTAAGGTACTTAGAGTCATTTTAATGTCGTACATGACTTAGTAGATCTGTTTGTATCCATTTTGAAGACCAAGAAACAGTGCAAGAACTGTATAGGTGGAAAAAAAGCTCTTCTGCTATATATAGAATTTAGTGCTGTTCAATCCCTTCCCCTGGGACAAATCCTGAAACTAATTTAAAGCCAAGGGTATTTGCTAGTTTACCTGAAATACCCTTGCGTTTGTGCAGCAGTGAAGTGCAAGATGATTTAATGTTGTATTCTTTTAAGAGTTAATTTTTTGTGTTGCTTTTTTCTTATTATGTATTGTAACTTTCAGCCAGTTTAAACAGCATAGCTAATTAGGGCAGGGTCTCTGACAGCATGTGAATAACCGCTATCTTCCAGATGATTTAACTATAATTTTAGTTGTCAGTCTTTTCCCCATGTCCTTGCCCCTTCCCCTTTTTCTGACTTGACTGTAGACGTTCAGAGATGTAAAACTAGTAGAAACAGTGTGTTTAGGGACCTGCCTGAAATACAAGTGTCTGAACTTAGTCCTTGAAGTTTTTGCTATTCCTAAGCTGAATTTATGTGATTTTGGTAATTAGGGTGTATTCACCCTAATTTAATAACACTTCAAAGAGGTGTTGCTGGGAGTTGAGTCAGTCAGCAAAGGTGTGTTTTGTCCTTTTTTGTTCTGCCCCCTCCTTCATGTCAGTGCTAAGCCAGTGCTCCAGTTAGTCCCAGGACATACTGTGCTGCAGAGACTGGCTGTCTACTGGCAAGACGTGCAGCTTTGGCACTTTTCCCTTCAGGTGAATCCCACTGCAGCTTTGCCTGTGTCTGTCTGACACTGTTGTTCTAGTCTCTTCTGAAGTTTATGGAGTGAAATAGACCCTTCAGGAGGACAGATCATCTGATCTGTTTTAGATGTCAGCTTCTGTTTGCTTCGTTATGTATAAAGGGAGCCTTTGGTGACTGCTTAGATTTCATTGCTCCTTTTCACCTGTCCCAGTGGAGGCCTTTCAGTCCCACCACTGAAATCATGAAAGGTCTTGTGGCCATTTCAGATAGGCCCATGTGAACTGTGGAGCCCTAGCCAAACTCCAGGTTCAGGGTTGTTTTAAGAAAAAGAGAGATAGCTCCTCTATGTATCGTCCGCTGGAGTCCACAAAATAGTCCTCCTCTATAGCATTAGATTACATGCCACATTTCCCTGCAGGTTGCAGAAACTTTACTTTCAGTGCAGCTCGGTTGAATCGCTATGTTAAATTATGAAGAACTTCAGCATGATTAACAAGCAACAGCGGTTTAAACATACCCTTTCTTACGGTTAGTTACTATAGCACACCTACCTCTGTGAGTTAATTCCCTGCAATGCATTTAGATCAACATTTGGTAACGCAGTGACCTGTAAAAGCATTGGATGTGCTCAGTAACTGGGTGTTTTAGTATAGTTTTCACTTAAGTATCGCTTGTTGCAAAAATAGCTCTGAATAAGGATTATTAAACCAGCTTGATGACCTCTAGTTCTGGAAGGTATTAAATAGGACAGCAGGCATCCCACGTGGTTTTAAACCTGAATGGGGATGGTGGCAAGAGAGAGAGAATATCCATGCAAAAGGGTAAAATAAGGTGATGGTGATGGGAAAATAAGATTTTCAAGATGAGGAGTCAGGTAACTTGATTTATTATGTAAATCTCTGTGGAGCCTAGAAAGCCTGAGGAAGATTGGGGTTCTCGCTACTGAATTGATGTACCAACTTGGAGGCTGTTCGCTCGATTTAAAAAAAAATGTTTACAAAGCATATTAATTAGGATTAGTGATGTCTCCTTGCCACCACTTTTTTCTGTAAAGTGTAGAAGAGTGAAAAGGTGGGGAGCTGATCTTTTAATCATGTCTGTGCCACCTCATTGCAATGTTAACCTAAAGAAGCAGTGATAACTTGTCTTAGAAGACTGCGAAGGGGAAAACATGTTCAGAAAGCCTCAGTGTGATAATGTTAGTCATGAGAGCTGAATATCAAAATGCCGCTCAAGTCAGAAGAGCTTTGTGGTAGAGTTTCACAGTCCAGTTCAAAGTCAGTTTTCTGGATTACGTTTTGCCTTGGGTGAGTTACTTCATAAAAATCAGTAATTTGAGCCGGGGCTATGGATTTGATGCCCCTTCCCTGGCAGTGTTCAAGGCCAGGCTGGATGGGGCTTTGGGCAACCCGTTCTAGTGGGAGGTGTCCCTGCCCATGGCAGGGGGCTTGGAACTAGGTGATCTTTAAGGTCCCTTCAAACCCAAACCATTCTGTGATTCTATGATTTTGGTTTAAGCGCGGAACTGAAACTGATAGGTGGACTGAGGTTCAGACTGGTCTTAATGTTATTAGTTGGCAGTCGTAGAAGCTTTTAAAACTAGTATGGAAGGTGAGCTGGCGTGTCTTTCCGTGCAGGATTTTTAGTAGAAATGTGACCTTCCCGCACAGCGGCGTTGGGTCAGCAAGGGGCTGAAGCCCAGCAGGGTCCAGGACAGGCCCGGACAGGCCCTGTCGTGAGATCGTAGCGATGCTCGGTCTTCTTTAGATAAAAATACTACAAGGGAACGCTTAAATATTCCCCCGTGGCGAGGCCGAGGCTTCGGGCTTGGGGATAGGTCACACAAGGCCGCGCAGCGTGTGGGTGAGGCGAGCCGGGTGGTGGGTCCGGTTCCTGGGAGCGGGCGGCAGGCGTTGGGCCGTGCCCAGAGCTCCATCTGCTGGCGGCTGGTGGGAACGTCACCGCCGGGATGGCTGGCTCCTGGGCGGGGGGGGC